ATCCATCCATCCATCCATCCATCCATCCATCCATCCATCCATCCATCCATCCATCCATCCATCCATCCATCCATCCATCTACTGCTTGTTCCACAATTGCTCCCAACAGCATAGCTTTTAGGATGTTGGCACGCTTGTTTTTAAAAACTCCTTCTATTTTCTCAAAAGACACATCAGTGAGCTGAGACTGGTCAGGGTTCTTGGCACAGAAGGCGGGATCTACAAGTTTTCGGCCAATCATGAGGATGCCTCCATTGATTATTTCTTCCACGTATATGTCAGCAGTAAGTATGCTGCCCGTGTTTGTTCAAATGTGTTGTTTCTAAAATGTTAGAGCACCTGAAACTCATGAGACATTAAATCCACTAAAAAAGGTTCATTTGATGTCATTAACATTAAAAACTCATTCATTCATAAATCTAGACTTGCTAAAATCTGCAAGGCCTTCCCTGGAAAAGTTTTAAAACCTGCAATACACAGACATTTTCTATCTGAACAGTCTTTTGTTTAACAGAGGACAACCAAACACTCCAGAAAAAAGCAAACAGTTTTAGTGTTTTCTTATAAATATCCTATATTTGTGTTTTATTTCTCCTTCTGTAAGGTAAGCCTGTTATTGTTGCCCATGAAGGCCCTGTTGATGGACAGGTACGATGCATCGCTGCAGGTTATCCAGTTCCTAAAATCAGTTGGTACTTCTGCGAACAGCCCCGCACGAGGTATGCCCAAAATACCCTGCGATCACAAGAGCAGCTTGCTTTGTTTGCCCTGTTAGTTTATTTAGCCTACATTGGTGTGGACGCCAAAAATATTCAAAGAAACATTTTAAATTGTAACAGTCTAGTGATCCGGTAGATAAAATAATCAGGTGAGTTGAAAAAAAAAACAGATGATTTGCATAAATAACTTGTAAATAAGCTCAGCTGTGGACACGAGTTACTGCTTAGCCTGCAGATATCAAAGCAAAAAATAAAAATCCACCCAGCTAGAAGAGTAATAATAAAAGGATTTGTGTCCTTTTCCCCACTGAGCTGCAGATCCCTGATCAAACACGTCTCATTCTTGTTCGCTTTTTGACTTCACTTCTGAAAGATAAAAAGGTTCACACGAGCTGCATGTTAATTAACAAGATTTTATGGCCAACAAACTTTTTTTTTTCCAACAAAATGATCAAGATTAGAAACAAGTATCAGAGGGACAGCTGAGGATGAGCAGTTTAGAGACAAAGTTAGAGGGAAAAAGGGCTGAGATGGTTTGGACATGTACAGATTCGGGATGGTGGATGTATTGGACAAAAGATGCTGAACATTGAGCTGCTAGGAAGGAGGGAAAGAGGAAGGCCATAGTTGTAGTTCCTGGATTTAGTGAAGGAGGATCTGCAGAGTGTTGTGGTGATAGAGGAGAATGCTCGGAAAAGGGTGAGATTGAGGCAGATAATCTGCTGTGTTGACCTCTAAAGAGAGCCAGAAGAAGAAGAAAGCTAATCAATCATGTAATGACATTACTGTACTGTTCCCGTCTGCCGTACTTGTACCACAGCCTTTCTATAAAGTAGAACAGATTTGAAAAGTTCTCTACTCCAACCTCTCATCAGGTGCTCACGTCTGCCCAACGCCACCCAATGGGAGACACCAGAGGTGGCCATGCTGTCTGAGTCCGCCTTTGGCAGGACTCGGGTGGAGAGCCGTCTGAATGTGAGCAAGGAGCACGCTCAGTACCACACCCTGGAGTGTGTGGCCTCTACGGAGGGAGAGGAGGCCTACACGCTGTTCTCCATCAGTGGTAACACACACACACACACACACACACACACATACACACACACATACACACACACACACTAAGAGGGCTGATAACAGCGAAGGCTGTGCAGGACAGTGCGGGGTGGTAAGGTTTTATCTTCACATTGTTTACACATACTGACACAAACCCATTGGCCCTGGGTCTGCAGAGGCCAGGTGTGTGGTTACAGATTGAAGAAGATTAGCGTATGCTGACTATGCAGGCTGGGATTATGTGGCGTGGACTCGCTAATCCTTGTCACAAACACCACTGCTGCAGCTGTCGGCCGTTACGACGAAGGAGGAAGATGTTTTTGTTAGTGTGTATCTGAGTTTATATTCATGACGTCACAACATATAAGTGAGGGTCGAACAGCTTTGTGGGGGTGAAAAAATGCTGATGTTAGCTTTTATTTTTTTGATCGCCAACAATGAGCTTGGGTGTTCGAATTATTGCACATTAAGTTGATATGAATGAATGAATGAATGCGTTGCTTTAGCTGATGACACCCATGCAGTAAATGTTTACGTAACTGCCACTAAAACCATGTTTGTACTCAAATGTAAGTCTTGTGATTACTGATTTTGTCTCCGATTTGTGTGTGTGTGTTTTTTTTAGAGCGGATTGTCACCCATAAACTCTTCACACCTCTTCTAACTGGCATGGTGACTACCGGTGTCATCCTCATCCTCATTCTAGTTGTGCTCTTTTATAAGTACATGCAGGTGAGTCAGCGTGTAGCCATTAAATTCAAAGCTGTGGAAAAATTAGGCAAACTCAAACAAATAATTTTTTTTCAACACAAAATGAAAATAAATTGTAAAAACAGTGTGTGTAAAACACAAAGTATTGAGTCACTGCTTCCAGAAACTGATAGTAAACTACTCTGTTGTAACCTGTTAGACAGCTGAGTTATAAACTTCACACCTACCATTAGTCATGTTCATTTCTACAAATCACTTAATACACATCACTGTTAAATCCAGTTCATTAAGCATCACTGATACACAGTTTTCAATATAAAAATGTAAAGGACTTCTGTAGCTTCTGGTAAAGATCCCATTCTCATTTATTAGCAAAGTCTGCCTCCACGCTGTAAAAGTTAGAAGCATCTGTTTCACAGCGCTCTGTGACGAGTTGATGCAAAAAAAAGTGCAAAAACATGTCCTTTTGATCAGCGTGAATGTGTCCTAATTAACATGAAGAGAGTTAATCCACCATTCAGAGTGCATCCACGGTGCTTTTAAAGGATTCCTTGACACACACGATGACGTCTCACGCCATTAATTCACCCCTCTGAGCGCACTGCTGTTATTGAACTCGGATGAGTCAGGCTTCTTGAGAACCCGTGCGCGCATCTGCAGCGGGATCCTGAGGGAAACGTCTAGACGCAGCCTGTCGTCTTAAGTGCATGGATTGATCAGAACTTAGATAAAAGACAAGGGCAACGAAATGAGCGATTACTGTCCAACTGAGTCAGAAATGCTTGAAAGTCAATCTAACTGTAGCTTTTGATGCCGGTTTTTGCAAACAAACAAGTGACTTTTCTTCTCGTTGAACAGAAACCAAAGTTTCAAATCCAGTGGAAAGTCATTGAGAGCATCAATGGGAACAACTACATCTACATCGACCCCCTCCAGCTGCCGTATGACATCAAATGGGAGTTTCCCAGACAGAAGCTTCGCTTTGGTACCAATGCATTGTGTTTATATTGTTAATACCATGTCACCATTTGTGAGAGCGCCTGATTGTGTCATTGGTTGATATTTCTGGTGTTTGTGTACCTAAAGGTAAAACTCTGGGCGCGGGGGCTTTTGGGAAGGTGGTAAGAGCCACAGCGTATGGGCTGTGCTCTGCAGATACAGTGACCACCGTCGCTGTTAAGATGCTAAAACGTAAGTCTGGTCGTTCGTTATTACACGTGTGATCGTGCACACAGTGGTAGAAAATACATTTACTCAGGCACTTGTGATGTCACCTTAGCTAACGCTCATTCCACCGAGAAGGAAGCGCTGATGTCAGAGCTGAAGGTTCTCAGTTACCTTGGAAATCATGTGAACATCGTGAACCTGCTGGGAGCCTGTACTATTGGAGGTGAGTGGTGCCACAATGAACTTCTTTGGATTGAGATGAACGCTGCTATGAAAGTCCTGGTGTAGATTCTTCAGGACATCCAAAAGTTTAAAGCTCAAAACGTCACATTCGCCAGTAAAAGCTAGGAAATATGACAGCTTCAACTGCAGAGGAGAAGCCCAGTTGTTTTGGTTTTTTTTTATTTATTTATATGTTTTTAGATTAACTGTGAACTTCTTGTTCAACCCTGGAACTCAGAACACAGACCTTAGTGGCAGGTTTTAAGTGAGGCCAGGTGTGTTAAGCCAGATCAATTTCTCAAATTTAGACTTTTCTGTCGGCAAAACAACTTTGTAACTAAGTTTTATTCAGCCAAACAAGAGCTCCAGAATAAAAAGTAATTCTTGGACAGTCAGAAACATCTAAATATAAAAATGTTTCTAATTTTTACGCACATGATTTGCATCCAACATGGCTTCCTTCACATAAAAATGGAGCGAGCTTTGTTTACAAACTGTTTTTTTTTTTACTTCTATTTGAATCTCCACATGGTGCTGTGTAACCTTAATTAAGAACATGTTACAAATAAAATACTGGTTAGTATTAGTTTTTTTGGTAAATATTGTTAAGTTAATATTGTTTGGATGGATTAGACACATACACAATGTCTCGCTGACTGCTCAGTATCTGATGAAAAATCAGATACCATCCAGCTTATGTTAAAACACAATGCAGCTTGACTTGTCACAAATTTACAGTCAATCAATAACATTTAGCTGCCCACCTAGACCTCAGCATTGATTGCTCTGCAGCATTTTTATTGAATTCCACACGAGTGAGTGTGAGTTATGTAGCCGGGATAAACACGCTAAACACTTGTCGCACTGAAAAAATCCTCATTAAAAGTTAATCCAGAGTGACAGACGCTCGTTTAGTCTCTCACAACACAAAATATTTGTTGCCTTTTCACACACACTTATTGTTAAACTCTGACAGGCTCACACCACATCTTTCTTTGTGTCAAAAGTAGTCATTAACGTGTCTAAAAGCTTTGCACGGCATCCTCTTTTGTCTCGTGTTCATTGTTTCACCGAAACTCTGTTTTTTTTTGTTGTTGTTGTTGTTTTTATCTCTGCGTTTTGCCAGGCCCAATTTTAGTGATCACGGAGTACTGTTGCTATGGCGACCTGCTCAACTTCCTTCGAAAGAAACGAGAGTCCTTCCTAAACTCCCAGGCTGGGGACGATCACTATCGCAACGTCTCGATCCAATCGGAGCCAACCAGGTATTAATGTGTGCAAATTCCTGAAGTGTGAACACTTCAGAGCCATGCCTCCCTTGAATACTTAGTGTGTGTCTGTGTGTGTAGCAGAGAAGTGACCGGTACAGGATATATACCCATGCGTCCATCTGAGAAGGAACGGTCCTCTCAGTCAGGTACTCATGCTTTGTTTCAGCAACATAATAATCCTTTTAAAATCATTTTGTACTGACTGAGGAAAATCTTTAGACGAAATAGACGAGCTGTCTCTGGACGCTGAAGATCTCCTCAGCTTTTCTTACCAGGTGGCCAAAGGGATGGAGTACATTACATCCAAGAACGTAAGACTTTAACATATTGCATACATATTTATCGACTAGTTAGAGTGCCGCTGCTAGTTAATAAATTATATTAAGAGCCAACATGCATGCAGAAAGCTTGACGTCAGCCGGCGGAACGGTTACAGTGCTTTCACTGTTAGTTTTAGATCGCACATAAATAAAACCTCTCGGGGTCTTTTACAGTGGCATATTTCACACTGCACTTATTCGTCTGTGCTCTGTGTTTTAGATGCACATGACAATGTTTTCCTCCCTGCTCGCATTTCATCGAAAAAGCTCTGATCAGTCCACTGGTCCTATAATATGACAGAACCAAGCTCTGTGTTCAGCAGACGAAGAGTATATCTGCTGAGCTCAGCGGAACATTAAACGGCTAAAGGAAAGTTGGTGGAGGTCCAAGAAGAACCTATAGGGTCTACATGTATATGGCTTAAGATCATGTTTGTCCGGGAAAAAGTTTCAACTTAATGCACACAGCGCAAACTTTTACACAAAGTCGTGAGTCATCAACAAAGCTTGTTCAGGAGCTGAGGTTTTAGTTAGATAATAATCTATTTTTTTATTTTATGTTTGTAGTTTTTAACATTATTGGCAGCACCTTGGGGGACCAGAAGCTCAAAACGAACATGAATAGCAACAGCAAAATAAATTGTTTGGCAGAGAAGATTTGGCAAATTTTTCATGCGTGCAACCCACATATTCAGCTCTACAGCTTGTCCCACAAATGCATGTTCCTTACAAATGTGGCACCATTTAAAAAGGAAATTAAAAGGCTTTCCAGTGGTGTATGATTTATTCCCACGCAGCATTGTTAAAATAAATAAACATTCTACCAAACACAAATTTCCTTACTTTTTGTGCTAAGTTTATGTTCCAGGCTTAATAACTTTGAGAGCTTTTAAATTGATAGTGAGGGGATCTGTGCTTCGTTCCATTACATGTACATGTTATTTTTATTTTTGCTTAAAATACGTAAAAAATTATTGAAGATCTCCTCAGCTTTTCTTACCAGGTCACCAAAGGGATGGATTACATTATTTCCTTTTTGTGTTTGAATGTGTAACTATGGAACTAAATTGTACTTGATGCCTATCTTGGCCAGAACTCTTTTGAATGGGATGGGATATTTTCTTGGTAAAATAAAGGTTTAATAACAAAAGATACTGTAAATATAATGTATTTTGTAGATGTTACAAAACAGTAAAAAAAATCCAATACATGTAATTTATTTTGACAACATTAATCCTTAAAAAGAAAGCACTAAAACCCAATTTGATGATATTAAACAGGGTATTTTTCCATAAAGTTTTGTATTTGTAATTTTAGTAACAAGCACATCTGGACTCACCTCATGTCATTACAGAAACCGTCTACAAGGTCAACTCTCATTTCTTTTTCTGTGCTTGATTGTTTTTCTTTCTTACGTGCAGTGCATCCACAGGGATCTCGCAGCCAGGAACGTTCTGCTGACCCACGGCAGGGTGGCCAAGATCTGCGACTTCGGCTTGGCACGTGACATCACCACTGACGCCAGTTATGTGCTGCGGGGAAATGTGAGTCTGACTTTCAGAAGATTTACATTTCTAATTAAATAAGACCACAAAAACATAAAAAAAAAACAAAGATGCACATCCTTTAACTCCAGGCTCGTCTACCGGTCAAATGGATGTCTCCGGAGAGTATTTTCGACTGTGTCTACACCTTCGAGAGTGACGTGTGGTCCTATGGCATCCTGCTCTGGGAAATCTTCTCACTGGGTAACATTTCCAGTTAAAACACAGCTGTTGTGTCCCTTTCATAATGTCTGAGTCATTATTTTCATCCACTTGAGCTGACTGGGGTCTTTATTAGAGGTTGTGATGATGCTCTCTCTGAGCAGCAACATCACTTAGAGGAGTCAATAATGCAATCAAGTCAAATTGACTAAAACCAGCTGGCTTTGACTCTTTCACCTAAAACAACACAAACAACACAGTGTGCACTTTCATGTTGGTGTTGCAGGAAATAGCCCATACCCAGGGATGCAGGTGGGATCTGCGTTTTATAGGATGATTCAAGAAGGTCACAGGATGAGCAGGCCCGAGTTTGCTCCCACAGAGATGTAAGTAGAAATCTAAGACTGTGAGAATATCTATTTGATGTAAGAAAAAAAGCCTTTGCCTTTACGGCAAAGGCTGGTTCACCCCAAAGATCCGGTGCCCCGGCACAAACAGAGCAATATTGTATATGCTGTTAAGTGCCAGGAGGACTGTGACCAGTTATACATCGGGGAAACAAAGCAGCCACTGTTCAAAAGAATGTCCCAACACAGACGAGCTACATCTAATGGCCAGAACACACCGAACGCGATTTCAGCTTCAAAATCGCAGCCAACGCTGAAGTCTGAAGCTTGTGCAC